GAAGATGAAGATAATTTTATCATATCATTAGTGAGTTTAAAGAACTGTAACAGCGCGCCTGAGTGTGCATCAAATAAATTGTTCAGGTGGTCAAAGAACGCCACATGATTGAACTTCATGACATCTAATGGAGCTGGGTAAAACTAAAGAGAACCGTTAAATAGGTGAAACAACAAAGCTTTGATATCGGAGAAGAACAGAAATAGAAGATTAAAAGAGAATGAGAAAGACTTTCTGTTCCTCTTGAATCAAGGCCTTCATGCGTCCTATACCTTTCATAAACCAAAGCTGTTTGTTTGTTTTTAAAATTTTGGTCTTCTAGGGCACTTGTATGGACTTGTTGACATACAGGGGTTTCCAGAAAAAGGTCCATAGCAGACCTTGAGGTATGTCTCGCAATCGGAAATAGCCGCTAGTGGGGGCTCATTTACTGAGGACAGGGTGGTTGAGAAAATAATTGTATAAAGGATAAAAAATAAAGAATTAAGTCTTCGCCGTTGATCAATGCCTTTGTGGGATGCTGCATTCTGCTTCCATTCAGTCGTAGTGGCTTATGCGGGGGCCACCAATATACCGTCCCCGGAGGGTAGAAGACTTGGTTGGCCTGGGCGGGAGTCGACCCGGGATTTGAACCCGGCGCCGCGCGAGTGGTAAGCGCGCCACTTGTCACTACACCACCTCCGCCTCCGAGAAAATTTGTATATTGTAAAAAAAGAAAGAGAGCCCCATCCGAACTGTCTCACATAGGACTCCATGCCGAGCCAAGCTTGCTCCAAAAGAGGATGTGCTCAATAGAATCCTCACTTGCTGATACCAGATCTTTCCGTTATCACCTCACAATCACAATTCGGAGTGCAAACACACTAAGAAAGCTTTAAAGCTAAACGTTAGGTGTGGCATGGTGCAGTCGGCGGACATTGTCCTAGTCGCGCCCAGGTAAGGTGTTACCACGCATTCTGAAGTCACGAAAACGGGATATCCTCCGTGCTCGCGGACGCGATTTTGCACAGCAACGGCGTCTGCTCACTAAATGAACGCGGGACGTGGTTGAACTAACTGAAAGCTTACCTGCAGAATGTTTCTCTTCTGGTGCTTATTTGATTTGATCCGCATTCCTTTACAGATGTACAATTGACCTGAACTGGCTCATCGAGTTGACAGTCAATGGGAAATTTACACGACAGGCATGATGCATCCAACTGGCAATCCACTCGAGAACAACTGAAATATGCGAGTGTAACATTCATGAGAGGAAAACGAAACTCCGCAGTTTGCCAAACAACTCCAGTCGAAAACTCGAGGGCACTTCTTTTCAAAAGAATATGCTGCTCGTGTTCCAGCTTACTAGACAGTTTATCAGACTGCGTGGAAAAGAAAAGCGCACACACGAATGAGAGAATCAGCAATCCGCAAAGGAAGTGATTGTGAGCCCTATCGAAAATATAGTTGAAAAAAGGATAAAGCTGTTTGCAGAAAACTCATATAAAGGTGAACCTTCCCGTGGGAACGCCGCCCTCCAACCGGATTTATTTTGCTCCTCAACTTAGTTCCATTATTTATAACTCCAAAACTTCAAAAAAGTCAATTTTAGGTGAAACTTCATCTTCTCACTCAGTTCTCTAAGTACAGGTAACTCTTCACTCCTTTCAGCAGGTTTCACCCCCCCCCCCAACTACTTGTTTTCGCCTATCGAAGAACTGCTTTTGTTTTTTGAATACCTTGTCGCTGGCATGATGTGATTCTGTAACTGATAATGAACCGACAAGTCGTTAAAACCTGTCGCCAAGAAGTTTTGGCGTGCAATAGCAGTGGCGCAAAAAATTTACGTCATATTCGTGAACAAAACATTGAGTACGAACGAAAACACACTATGTGAATATCTCCAAATGTGCCACTGAACTTAGTTCAATTTGCATACTAAAAAGGTAAAAAGGAATAGTTCATGGTTATGATAACGACGAAGAAAAAAAAATAGTTGTTACGACAAGGAACTCGTTTCTGAAACTTACTGCGCACGACTGTTCGCTCTGGCTCCACTCACGGCTGAGCTCATCCTGTTTGAGTAGACTTTCAGCAGAAATAAGGAGAGTAATATGTAAACTGTTCTGCACATTGCACCTGAAGCAAGAAGTGATGGTTTCTGGTTTTTATCGGAAATCTCTGTTATGGTGCCAAACTGTCACCAACAATGAAAGAAGAAGCGAAGGCTCAGCGGAAAAGGGTAAAATATTTTGCAGGGGAAAGATGGAAAGTGGCACAAGGGGAATTGACGTGGAGTTCGATTGTGTTATGTGATTGAGCTTGAATTTGGGATTTCGAGGATTTCACGCAGTTTTGGGGTGAGCCCATGGTGGTGTGTTAGGAACCCACATGTTCCCGTCCCTTACTTGTACAGGCCAGTGTTCCTGACAAGTCCATGAAAGATGATTCAACCCCGACAGGGTAGAATAATGAAATGCTTAACAGTGTTCACAGTATATAGGTGTTGCAGTCGTTTATTGTAGATGCTCGGTGACGGGCTCCGGCTAGGGGAGAAAGCTGAAAAAAGGGGGCCGTCCCTCTAAACAGCAGCGGAGTCCGCTGTCATGTAATCTGCTTCACAAGCGTCATAAATCATGCTAGCCTAAGTCACATTCACATAATAATCCTCGATTGGCTAGGTAACACTGTATATTGATGAAGGGTCTGGAGGCCAAATCCAAACACGTTGTCGCTAATGTATGGAGGCGGGGGTAGCCTCGGGATAGTGTGGGTCCGAGACGGGGTAGGTGGTCTCGACCGTCAAGGTGTAGAATGCTCACATTAATCTAGGGAAGTATATACCGGCGCTGCCTCTCAATACATGAGGAGGTCACGCTGAGATCTAAACTATTTACCTACGCGCTCATAAGCAGCCATGTCTCAAGGTTCGGCTGCATGGGCTTATAACATATATCCAATATCAATCAGTAAGTCATAAAAGGGTGCACCGGCAGGTTCTGGTGGCAATCCAGAACAAACAGCACTGCTTAAGCTTTGAAGACGTACAACGTGCAGAAGGTGTTTGGTCTACAAGAAAGCATACATGTGTGAAGAGGAGGAAGGCATTGTCACTGTCTGCGACCCTGACGAACGGCGGTTGGGCGAAAAGCAATAGATGCGTATCGATTTCGCTGGCGAAAAACGCCAGGGCGGTCGAGCTAGCGTTTCGCGAAGGCGAAAAACGTCGCGGTTTGGCGAAACGCCCGTCGATTCGTATCAAAACCCTTTCGCCCAACCGCCAGACTCTTCGCCCAACCGCCAGTCGATACGTATCGAAAGCTTTTCGCCGGAGCGTTTCTTTCTAGAGAAACGCTGGGCCGCAGACTGTGAACAATTCCTAAGAGAGAAAGAAGCGCTCAAGTAACTGCGATCCTCTGGTAGCTGTCCAATCCAAAATGTGTGCGCCGAGAGAACGACACGGAATAATATTGACCGTGAGTACGGTAACTGCGTATAGTACGTGATTGCACCCAGCGTCCTTTGGTACTTTTAGATAACGGACCGCAACTTCCTTGTAAATTTCCCACCGTTTCACGTACCAGAGCGTGGTTCATTAACGCGCTGCTGTTCTATGAAATACAATTATCGGATGTCAATCAAAATACCTTGAAACGCTGCCTGAAATTGCCTATTATGCTATGGCGCATTCTAGTCGCAACAACTGTCCTGTTTGTGATCTAGTGATACATAAAAAGAGCCTTTACCGACATCTGAGGGCTTGCCACAAATACTCTGAAGAGCAGTGCCTTCAAATGAAGAACGAAAACAAACTGGCACTAGCATCTTCTCTCGTCATCTGCCCTGTCTGCAATGAGAGGATTGCAGATCAAGAAGCCCTGGCTAACCATTGCTCACAGCAGCATTCACAGAATGGCGCTAACGGTCAACCGCAGGACTATACGGTGTTCCTGAAGAGATTTGGGAACGAACAAGAATATGAGGTTTTTTGAAGTTACTATTCGTCTCGAAGGTTTTATAGTAATTTTTAGCAGTTTAGCAGTGGTTATCGGAGGAATGCAAGAAGAATTGTACTGCATTTTGGCAAAGATCGAAGGATCGTTCAAAATCCGGAACGAAGATAAGGCTGCGGTATACTTTTCGCGTTTATCCATTCTGTAAGAACGCGTTCAGACTTCGCG